CAAAATCTGCTCTAAGATCATTGGAGTCCAGCTTACAGACTTAAGCGCCACCTGGAAAAAACGGGTGATTCAGAAAGCCAGACAGGTCATTAATCATCCTGACCACATCCTCAGTCAGGAATTCTGATTGATGCCCTCAGGACGGCGTTACCTTGCCCCCCCAAGGAAGACAAACAGATATGCAAATTCATTTATTCCTTCGGCCATCAGGCTTCTAAATGCTGCTGACAACTAAATTAACACAGGCCAGGCATTGTAAACCTGAGAGCCTTGATGTGTATATTTATTCATTATTTATTAGGAACCTCGGCCGAAGACCTACAAATCACGCGCTGACACCCCTGAACTAAACCCAACAGGAAGTGAGCCATTTGCCTTTTCAAAGTAAGATTTCGCATCAAAAATGCTCTTTTTTCAAAAAAATATCTTCTCCTACACCGTTTATCGTATCGGCTTCAAACACGCACACATTACAAACCAACTCCCGCTGAACAGGTCTTCTGTATAACTTTGTCATTACTCAGATGGTTTGGATTTTATGCCCTCTTACAGATGAGGTGCCACAAAATCCCCTGACGATCTTCGTGCCACCTAGACACACTAAAATGGCCACTCCTGTAGGAATGTCGTAGAAAGATCAAACCAAAACTAGCTTGTTCGTCTCATCAAGACCTACAAATCACGCGCTGACAACCCTGACCTAAATCCAACAGGAAGTGAGCTAGTGCCTCTGAAAGTAACATGAGCAAATGTGGAGAAATTGCCAGCTGTGAGCTAGAGTGGAGAGGGGTCTAAAATCGTCTAAAACTTTTGTCTTTAACTGTCTACATGAGATGGAGGCTGAAACAGCGGGAGTCAGAGGTCCCACCAACGCTGCTTGCAGCTTTAATTTTAGTATTGTTATTGCTGCTTGCTCCGGTTGCCCATGCCAACCTGTTGTTACTGACAATGGATGTTGTATGTGTTGTTTTTATTTTGTGGTCCCACTATGTGACTTGAGGCTGCAAACTGAATTGGCCTATGGGGATAAATAAAGTTGTTTGAACTTGAACTATGGATTCATTTTACTATTACCGTGATCCAAATACAAACTTTTCAAGATTACCAAATCCAGATAACCAGTTCTTTAAATGGGACTACATGTCACTATGTAGAATGCTAGCTCTGTCAAGACCAACAGTGTGATCCCTTCAAGTGTTTTTATTCGAAGAGACACAAAACAGCATTAGGGATGTAACTGTTAAAAACTACTGTGGAATATCTCATTGTAATCAATATACAGTGATGAATAAAAGTTGAAATTAAGTATTTTTTATTCAATATTGACAGCTTTTTGGGGGGTTAATTTTTGGGACAAAATCCTTTATTTTATCTTTTACTTTACTGTACTAAAAGGATTGATAGCTAGCCAAATATCTTCTTTATCGACATCCTCGCTGTAACTGGTTAACAGCTTAAGTGCAAAATATATATAAATGTTCATGAATTTGATCAGTTTAATAGTTTTATTTCATTGTGCCCCTTAAGTCCGTCCTGAACCAGCCTTCTGCTGGGATCAGGATCATCCTGATCCTACTAACAAGTTTTCAATAATACATACTGATGGTTTGCTCCAGATCAAAACCAAAACTGGACTACATGATCTATTCTATTTTCAGAATCTTTTGTTCTTTTTTAGATTTGATCTAATCAGGCAGTCAAAATCTGATCAGATTTCCTCTGAAGAAAGATGGAGGCTACAAATCCAAACTGCAATACGCTAAAAAAAACCCCACTTAGAACCAAACAGTAAAAACTGTTCAGGAATGACCTGAGGAACATGACAAAGAGCTCAAGGCATTAACCTGTCTTCCACATTCCCCAGACCCAATCTGATCACGCATCTGTGGGACATACTGGTACCCCAGAGGTACCCACAATCCACAGTGCGGCCTCCTTGGATCAGACTTGGCTCTTACCTCTTGAGGCACGGACACAGGACCTCCGAGCTTTCCTCTGGTGTTTGGCACTGGTGGATCTTTTGAGTCCTGTGAGTTGTGAGGTGTGTCACCAGCACGTTCCACAGATGCACGATCAGATTGGGCCTGGGGAATCTGGAGGCTACGTCAACACCTTCAGCTCTTTATCACTTCCTTGGGTCATTCCTGAACAGTTCTTACAGTGAGGCAGGGTTCATTGTCCTGCTGGGGGGGACACTGCCATCAGGGCGTGCCATTGCCATTGGGGGGTACTTGGTTTGTAGAGGCTCATTTATACTCCCTTTACATCAAAAATAGTCACATCCATTTCAAACCTTGTAGACGCCACTGCCCTTATCCATGTGTCCTTTGTGATGTCGCAGATATAGCCAATAGATGGCATTAGAGGGCGAAGTCAAAAGTTTCACAACAACAAACGAGGTGGTGGTGGGGGAGGTTGTGATGATGTACCTTTAAATAGAGTCCGCGTTGTGGATAGCGGTGGTCTGTGTGGCCATTATATACATCTTGATATGTGGACGGAGAATTCTTCTCACTATTATTGTATGTTACAAACTCATTCCGTTCTGCCATTATTTAAATTTCTTCATCATCTCCTTCTTCTTCATCTGTCATCGTGGTATCTTGCTTGAACTACGCTACACTGCCTCAATGATCTCCGGTGGTGCTGTTCTGTTTCGTCCGTAGCTGTAAGCTTTTACAAAATGACAACGGTTTGAATGAACGAGACGGACACAATCAGAAAGGAAACGGAGGCTGCGCATTGATCCTTGCCCCTGTCTGCAGGGACGAATGGACCGCATGATGGTTATTTTCTGAAAGCACAGAGCAAAGAAGTGTCTTTTTTCTCCCCTGGTCTGCTGTCAGTTATTTACGTGTTTTGTGGTTAATTATACCGTGGATCCTTTCGCTCCTCTCATGTAATCCGTGCGTCTTGCATACAGTGGCGCACGGGACAGATGAGCAGCCTTCGTATCCTGTCAGATTGCGCGTGACTTGTTCATTCAAACTTGGTCGGGATTTGTAGAGGACATGTATATGCTGCTCACTATAAAACGTGGTTACTATAAATAAATGCATCTCTGTGCAGAGAGTCTGTGTCTCATCGTGTCATACGGATTACTGCTAATTTATTATGCTGATCTGTTCTGTACGACATCTATTGCACGTCTGTCTGTCCTGGAAGAGGGATCCCTCCTCAGTTGCTCTTCCTGAGGTTTCTACCGTTTTTATCCCCCGTTAAAGGGTTTTTTTGGGGCGTTTTTCCTTATCTGCTGTGAAGGTCCTAAGGACAGAGGGATGTCGTATGCTGTAAAGCCCTGTGAGGCAAATTGTGATTTGTGATATTGGGCTTTATAAATAATTGATTGATTGATTGATTGATTGAGAGGGAAATATATGCTGCCTGCGTCTGAGCAGGAGGCTACACAGTAGAGATGCGCACCCTGGCTGACGCACGGCTTTCTTGCCATGCGGATCATTTTGGATTTATTTTGAGATATCTGATATTGATGGCTCCACCCTCCAATACGGTAGAAGGCATTTCATTTGCGATGCTCACAACATTGGAAACATTTAACAGATTCAAAAGCAACATATCTTTTTAGAAACAGTGACCCAGTGTTATTAGTTTTCCTTGGAAGTGCTTTCAGCTGAAGTCCCTATGACAAAAAATCTTGACAGTGAGGTCTGTGGATTATCCAGAGTACCAGGGACACTCTTTCTACAAAGACAAATTGCTGGTGAACTTATTAAATAACATTTTCACCAGCCGTGACACACCGTGATGCCTGGTATTGTTTTCACCTTGTGAGTGAGTGTGTGTGTGTGTGTGTGTCATCGTGGCAAAGTGTGGTCCATGGCTGCCTTTTACGCACAGAACACACATAACCATTATGCCATGTCTTAGTGGGACTGTCCAGTGATTTCAGGCTTTTAAATTCCCACATAGTATAGTAACTAATGCTGAAAACTAAGTAGTGAAACAACTGCATGTAGGTACAGGGTGGCAACGAGTCTAGGTCCCTGCTCCAGCTGCAGGTAGCTCGTACGGATCGATGTTATTTATTTCTTGGATCTTCTCCAAATACCTTAGTTTGAATCATAATAACACGGCAAAAAAGTCACACAAAGCACAGTAAATGAGATGGAGATTAATTACACTGGGGTGGCCTAATTAACGGGAAACACAGGGACAAGTAGGTTTTGAAAGATAAAAAGAGAGCATCCTCTTGGCTTTTCACATGGTAATATTATTTTAAAAAATATGGGTTGCATACAGTAGTTGTAATTCGACCTATTCATAAAATGCTACTAGGCTAAATAGTGGCTCCGTGGAGCCATGGACCAGCTGATAAGCCGTCTTTCCCAAATCTGCAGATATTACAGTATTTTGGTGATAGTCACTGCTACTCCCTGTGGACAAATGAAGCATTGCAACTGGTTTTCACACAGGTCTCTAGGGGCGTTACAAGTCAGGACTGCATTTCCTACATCATCACGGGGGATTAAATTAACTCCACAGAGCAGGTGGCAGGCTTGCACGATCTGCCACGGACCTGCCGAAGTTCAGTCATGGAAACGGGAACTTTTGAGTGGCTCCCACTGTAACAAGATGATTGATGTTACTCACTTCACCTGTCAGTGGTTTGAATGTTGTGGCTGATCAGTGCAGCCTGCAGCTCTTCCAGCAACCACTGACGTCACTGGTTTGCACAAGAACAAACAGATTTTGAAGCAGCTCCTGCAAAAACATAGAGGATCAAAAAAAGTCTTTTGTCACACTAAATCCTTAATTCAGATAGATGAAGATAAAGTTGAAAAACAGCAGTGTCACGCCATATGAGTCTGGACAGACGTGGATATTAACTGTAACTTGACTGGTTGGTGGAGGTGTACAACCACAAGGCAATGATTTTACTTCATCTTTTGAAGTTAATCAATGGATGTGAAATCATTTAAATGAGTGAATTTAATCAATCCCCCCCCCCCTCTCTCTCTCTGTCTCTGACTGTCTCTCAGTCTCTGGCATTCTCTAAACAGCTCATCCGGTCGCTGGAGAAGGAGCATCTACATGCGGTGAACGATGCTGAGGTGGAGCGTCTGGTAGAGCGATGGACGTCAGACGAGTGTTTCAATGCAGTCATGAGTTTCTTCCAGGCCAAGTCCAAACTGTGAGAGGGGAGGTGTGTCAATGATAATTATAATTCCTTTTAAATAAAAATTTAAATGGTAGAAGCAGTTTCAGTCCAAGATAACTATACCACACATTCAGTCAGTCTCAAACTAAAGTAAATTCATTACTTTAATGTGTTGTGGACTTTCTACAAGTGAAACTGACTGACCACTTCTTCTCTCACATTTCAAGATGTTGATGTGCAGGAAATGACCTCAGATTCAGTCCCTCAGCCTTTTATCTCTCAGTTCAGTTAGATCAGATTTGGATCCTGTTCCAATGTCACAAATCTTCTCTTAATCCAGACTTCATATCTGCCACCCACAGATCACCACACATCTCCACTGTGAGTTTTAATTGAGTTATTTAGCTGTGTACAAACATTGAAGGCAATGTCAGATTTGATGGGGGTTGGAATCATCATGGAGCAGCTGTGGGGAACAAACCTGCCTTCATTCTTTTTCAGTGACTGTGGACTCACATCATAGTCTAATGTCTGTAATGTTTTTGATCGCATGAAGGATTCAGTTTGTGTTTGAGCTCTGTTGATAGATAAAGTGCCTTCAACACTTTGTAATATTTTTCAGAGGATTAAACTCTCATCTTCTCTTCACTCTGTCTGTTCAATAAAAACAGTCTTTGTAATCATTCAGAGCTGTGTTTTCTGTTAATGTTTAGTTTAGGTAGAACAGAGCTGTGACGTTTGCTGCTGCAAAAACTCCCCACTGTGGTCTTTATGTTTTTGATAAAACAGCAACACTTACTGACTGGGCCCCATTTACCAACCATTCATAAGAGGGAATTTCTTTTAAAAACCCACTTACAGTTTTCATATTCACCAGTGTTTTCTTGTTTTGGGTCTCTCCTTAGGTAAGAGAATCTACGCACACTTTAGAGCACATTTTCAGGCTGTCTGTGTTAAGAACATGACACCAATGACTGGGTCTCAGATGCACACTCTGGAGACTGTAGTGAAGTTTAACAAAAATCGTTACTTGGAAAAACACAAAACAAAAAGCACTCACAATGGAGAAAAAGTACAAACAAAAAAATTTTAATAAGGAGGATAAAACTACTAACAAAAAGCGCTCTCTTGGAGGATCAAACAATTGCACTAAGGCTTGCAAACAAAACAAGGACTTGAAACAAAAACCTGGTAACATGCATGGATGGCTTGGACGCTAGACAGTACTCTTCTGATCATAATACGAACTGACAAGAAAGGAAGTCAGGGTCTGAAATGAGGGAAAAGGTGAGTACAAAATAAAACAGAAGTGCAAGACGAGACTAGACATGAGTGACTTTCACTTAACATAAAAGTGTTCATGACAATGAAAGACTAAACGAAACTAAACTAAGGCATGATATGATAAACATAATATAAACATGAATTAACTTAACAGATTTTATGTGATGTGACAGTACCCGACCCCTGGGGAGACGTAAGTGCACAGACAGGATTAATGACCTTTGAGACTGGGAAAAGTCCAACAAACCTGGGAGCTAGCTTACGTGACATGACATGAAGAGGCAAGTCCTTGGTGGCCAGCCAGACTTTCTGGCCAGGCCTGTACCATGGGGCCGGACAACGTTGCCGATCAGCCACACTCTTCATCCGAGTGGAGCTTCGCAGCGGGGCCCTGCGAGCCGCAGCCCAGATGAGATGGCAACGACAAACTATGGCGTTAGCAGAGGGGACCATGACCTCACTTTCAGCATCTGGGAACAGCGTAGGCTGATAACCATATGTACACTGGAATAGTGTGAGACCTGTAGCTGACGTGGGGAGCGTGTTGTGGGCGTATTCCACCCATGTGAGGTGCTTGCTCCAAGAGGCCTGGTTTTGGGAGACCAAGCAGCGCAGACAAGTCTCCAGCTCCTGGTTAAGCTTCTGTCTGACCGTTCGACTGAGGGTGGTAACCAGAAGAGAGGCTGACGGTGGCACCAAGGAGATGGCAGAACTCATTCCAAAACCTGGAAATGAACTGAGGTCCACGATCTGACACTGTCTCTTGAAAATCCATGAAGCCTGAAAACATGGTGCAGCATGACCTCTGCCGTTTCCTTGGCAGAGGGTAACTTGGGCAATGCAATAAAGTGTGCCATTTTAGAGAACCTGTCCACCACCGTCAGCACAGTGGTGTTACCTTCTGAACAGGGGACACCAGTGACGAAGTCCATCGAGATATGACCAGGGGCGGCGTGGAACAGGCAGAGGTTGCAGCAGACCCATCTGCACTCTGGACGAGGTTTTGTTCCGTGCACAGACTGGGCAGGCTGCCACGTACTCTTTGACCTCCTTCTCCATGGCTGGCCCACAGAACCTTTGTTTGATGAAAAACGCTGTTCTTTTCAACCCTGGATGACAGGTGAGCTTTGATGTGTGAGCCCAGTGAATTACCTGGGAATGGAGGGACACAGGGACAAACAACCGGTTTCATGGGCAACCATTAGGTGCCAGGCTCACACCATTAGCACGCTTCACCTCTGTTTCTATTTGCCATGTAACCCCTCCTACCACACGGTTAAGTGGTAGGATACGTTCAGGTTCTTTGGCAGCAGGCTCAGGGTCATACAAACGAGACAGGGCACTCGGTTTAGTATTCTGGGAACCGGGTCTGTAAGAAAGGGTGAAGTTAAATCTATTAAAAAAATAGGGCCCACCTGGCTTGACGTGAGTTAAGTCTCTTGGCTCTCTTCACATATTCTAAATTCTTGTGGTCAGTCGAGACCAAAAAGGGCTGCTCTGCCCCTTCTAGCCAGTGTCTCCACTCCTCTAAGGCAACTTTGACAGCCAATAGTTCTTTGTTTCCCACATCATAGTTCTTTTCAGCAGGTGCCAACTTACGTGAGAGGAAAGCACATGGGTGCAGTTTGTTGTCCTTAGCCGATTTCTGAGAAAGTATGGCTCCAATGCCATCATTTGAGGCATCCACCTCCACCACAAACTGTCAATGCGAGTCAGGAACGGTAAGTATGGGAGCTGAGGTGAGCACAAAACAAAAGCACTCACAATGGAGGAGAAAAAGTACAAACTAAAAACTCTCACAAGGAGGATAAAACTACTAACAAAAAGCACTCTCTTGGAGGATCAAACAATTGCACTAAGGCTTGCAAACAAAACAAAGACTTGAAACAAAAACCTGGTAACATGCATGGATGGCTTGGACGCTAGACAGTACTCTTCTGATCAACATAACAAGACGAACTGACACAAGACAAAGGGAGACAAGGACTATTTATACATGAGGTAGGGGGAACACAGGTGAGACCAATCAGGGAGCAGGGAGACAATCACAGTGGCGGGAAAATCACACAAAGGGAGGAAGTCAGGGTCTGAAATGAGAGGGAAAAGGTGCGTACAAAATAAAACAGGAAGTGCAAGACGAGACTAGACATGAGTGACTTTAACTTAACATAAAAGTGTTCATGACAATGAAAGACTAAACATGAAACTAAACTAAGGCATGATATGATAAACATAATATAAACATGAATTAACTTAACACATTTTACGTGACATGACAGTCTGCAGCTTCTTAACAAAGTCTTAAATGTCTTAAATTCAATTTTATAAACACTGGGCCTTACATAGTCTTAAATTTGAATTGGTGCAGTCTTAATTACCACCAACATTTAATCTAACTTCATTTATCCATCTTTTAATCTTTTTTTTTTTTGGTCAAAGTTTGAGCTCCTCTGCATGAAAGTCCATATTTGTGAAGTTGCAGATCTTTAAACCTTTCATTGAACCTAAAACTGTCTTTTTACTTTATACTTGCACTTAACTGTTGGCAAACTGTAGTAATAATCATATTCATATACATAGAACTGCATAAGGAGTATAGTAAGTAGTAGTAAGTCTTACATTCAGTTAGGAATTAACTTAGCATTAAATTTAAGTGTCTGATACCCACAGACACCCTGTTTTTGCGCTGATAGGTTTGTGCAAAATGATTGGTCATAGTGTTTTCTACCACAATTGTATATTATTATAGGATTTATATTTCAATAAAAGTTTCAGACAATGACGACCACAGAAAAACAGGTGCTGTGTGAAGGAACTCACACACAAGCGTTACTGCTGCCTCTCAATATATTGTCATGTGATTCATTACTTTGCAGCACTACTTATACTGAACAGGCTCTTCCTTGATACTGTAATCATAGACTGATATCACCTCAATCAGGGGTGGCCAACCCGCGGCTTGCGAGCCACATGTGGCTCTTGGCCTATCACTGTGTGGCTCTTCGATCCATTCATTAAAACTATGGGCGTGCGGCTCTTCTATCCTTCATAAAAAATAATTCATTGTTATGAGCGGGCCCTTTAAGAAATGTAACAGGCGTAAGTGGAGCGAGTGAGAGAGGGAGGAGTGAGCATGGGCAGGTGAGAGGGTGTATGGACAGTGCACTGGGTGTGGAGTTCAGGAGGAATGAAGGACGACAGGGCGGCGTCACCCATCAAAAATGGCAGGGAAGAAATGCGTGGCTAAGGGAAAGTATGAAGACGAACAAAGGACATTTTTAGCAGAGTGGGGGAGTGATATTTTCTTTGTTGAACGTAATGGAAAGCCGTTCTGTCTGATATGCCAGACGTCGTTGGGACATTTCAAAGTTTCAAATCTCAAGCGGCATTTCAGTGCGATGCACGGCAACATTGACCAGGAGTTCCCAAAAGGTACTGAACTTCGCAAGCACAAATTAAACAGCTTGAAAAGTCAAACTCAAAAACAGACCCAATTGTTTGGAAGATTTAGGAAGCACTCTGAGACAGTGATACTTGTGTAGCAGCATAGAGGTGCTTATTGTCATTGTTTACAATGTGCGCCGCTGGGGGCCGCTAATGAGGTGGGCCGGTATAAAAGCGGCAGTCCTCCCACTGGTTTTTCCTTTGCGCTCCTATCGTCGCCTCTGCGTCACTTCCGGGTCGGAGGTCGTCTGGTCCGACAGGTATGGCTGCACGCTGCTTCACCTCGCTGGTCGTTTGTTTGCCCACGTGCTTAAGGCATTGGTGTTGTGTTATTGGCAGCTCTATTCTGAGGAACGTGAAGTTAGCAACACCAGCGGCCATAGTCAAATGTATCCCTGGGGCCAGAGCGGGCGACATTGAATCAAATTTAAAACTGCTGGCTAAAGCTAAACGTAGATTCAGTAAGATTGTTATTCACGTCGGCGGCAATGACACCCGGTTACGCCAATCGGAGGTCACTAAAATTAATATTGCCTCGGTGTGTGAATATGCAAAAACGATGTCGGACTCCGTAGTTTTCTCTGGACCCCTCCCAAATCTGACCAGTGATGACATGTTTAGCCG